TATATATATATATATATATATCACCCAATTCTCATGCATTTACTTATCTCACTCCCAAACTTTGATTTTTACACTTAATGCACTTTTTCTTATGTATGAAAAGTTGGAAATAGTTTAATCCACCTTTTCATACATAGGTTAGGGTGCTTTGGATATAAAATTCAAAGTTTGGTTGTGAGATAAGTAAATGCATAAGAATTTGGTGCTATATAAGCAAATTTCTGATATGTATATGTTGACGCACAAATTGAATATGTATATATGTACTTTTGTATTCTTATGTGTGTGCATGCATGCTATTATTTTTGTGTATTTGGGTCTTCAAATGATTGGAATTCATATCTATTTGATGGAATTCTATCTGCTCTACTTTTCAGTATTTATTTTTTTATAACTTAATGCAGTAGAGCCACCAATTTCTTATGTTGGAATGATAATGCAAAAACGATGTTTTCTTTTTTCCAATTTCAATTGCACATTTTATCTGCTGCTGCAGTGAAAGAATTTTGTTTTTATATTGTGCTACTGTACTTATGCATTGATTACTATTACTCTGTTGCATGGTGACTATTTTGGGTATAATTATGCTTCCACCAAACTATTGTCTCCTGGTAATTTTTTATTCATTTTTATCTGCCAGCATGCTTATTGACTGTCTATATATATGCTAGAATATGGGCAAACTTTCAATCTGCTGCTAGATGGAAGGAAAGTATGACTCGCCAAGTGGCAGATCTTGCACGAGATATACCCGCACGGGCAGCTCAGTTGGATGCAGTGATGGTATGCATCTTAGTATTGCATCATTAACTCCTTTAGTAGAGCATATAACTCTTTCCATAAGATTAAGCTAATATCCCATTTTGTGATGATAACAAATTGAATCTATCCTCTACTTCTATGTGAATTTAGTGGACAATATATTAACTTTTAGTGCTTTTAGTATTATGCTAATTTATGATCATTCGTGTTGATCAGTTAGAAAATATTATTTGAATATATGGGCTGGGACTGCGTGTGGCTTGATTTCTTCAGGCAGACCTGAGCTTGGCCTTGTTTTGAGCTTCATGCTGTTTCAACATAGGCATGCTAACTCATGTTTTCATATTTATGAAATTTAAGAAAGTGTCAATTTGCATGCTTGATTGAGAAGGAATTTATTTTCTTCTCTCAGAAAATATCTCACTAATCATATTTCCTTTAATTATATATTTTTTTGTTTTCTTATTTTTTTTTTTGGTGAGATTCCTAATTTAAAATATTCTTATTTCCTATTTGTTGTTTGGTATACCAGTCACATTATTATATGTGTTGTAAGGTTTAGTGTAAAGAATCATGGAATAGAATTCTCTCCCAGAATTTCCATATGGTATGAGAGCTTTGAGTAACCCATTTCGTTCGCATTCGAGGCTGCAACCATATTTATCAGTCTCTGCTCCATCTCTACCTCCTCTGAAATCTTCGGGGTTGAAGAGTGCCGGGGCATCCTCCATGTTTCCAGAGATGGCTCCATCCATCGAAGCACCGAACCAAGCTTCCTTTCCACTGTTGACGACGACGGATCCATAGAAATCTTCAATTTTTTTGTTTGATGCTCGCATATGCATAAGCTGTCTCATCTCATATGTTGTCGTTTGTTGCTTCGTCTTCCAATCGTCATCCGACTGTCGCTTGAGGTCACTGCTTTGTCTCCTCACGGATGAGATCACAATGTTTGTCGTATGGCTTTTTTGCTCAAACAGAACACTGCATTTTGTTGTTTGTCTCTCCCACTTGACTAGGACGCTTTGTCATATCGCATAATTGTTCCCCATTTTTGGTTCGCTGCAGTTCACTAAACAATGAAAGATTTGGCGCATGCCATCGATTTGGCTTGCCCTGGCTGCCCCCTCACCAGTCGCCAACTTACAATCAACCCCACCACCTTTTGCCAAGTGTTGAACTCATAAAAACCGAGAGATGCGCACCTCCCTGTAGTTCTTGTTCACTCGTCCAACTGAGCAGTCGAACTAAGGGATCTCCTCTCTCTTTTTTCCAAACAGTAGGTCTTCTTGATTAGTGCTTCACAATCTTTTCATGTCCAAATACGACATAGCTTCACAATCTTCTTCCTTGAAAGTTACCTGATGATCTGATCCTACATCTTTAATCTCTAGCGCACCTAATAGCTCTTCTCATCTTTTCTCAAACCATAAACTACAAGGCCATAATTTTCTTCAGTGGTCATAGTCCGTCTTCATGTATGTCTGTGGTAGAAGAAAAGATGAACATCTCACTGATGAAATCTAGACTCTAGGTGTGACATATTTAAATATTGGACCTGAAAAATTGACGAACACATGATCATATCATGATTAATAAATTCTTTAACCACAAAAGTTAGAAAAAAATTATTGTTTTTTAAAACAACTAAAGAGATACGGGTGGTTGCACTACTCTAGTACTGAAAACTCTCAAGAATTATTTGAGAGTTAGATTAGACTACATGATTTATGATAAGGAGAATTGAGTGTTAATCAATATTTCAACACTCACATGCTGTTGGCTGCAATTGTACATGTATGAGGTTTATTCTTGGAAATGTCTTGATGACTCTGCCTTGTATAGGAGGATTATTGAACAAAAAATGGTCATCAACATCCTCTTTGGCCTCAATAAAGATTAAGAGGAAGTCAGAAGGAGAATTATGAGAATTAAACCCATATTTCCATTCGGGGGGCCTTTGCAGAAGTTTGAAGGGAGGAGAGTATAAGTAAGTTGATGATTACAAACAATCAAATCACACTATCTAATGAAGGATCATCCTTGTATACTCAAATTTCCTTTAAGAATAATAAGCTCAAGAAAAGACGACCATGATGTGACCATTGTAAGAAACTAGGTAATGTGAAGGAAAAATATTGAAAATTTTATGACGAACCTGTAGATTGGAAGCCATCTAATGGTATGATAGGGAGAATTATGCAAATGCTGTTGTCTAACCAAAAAAAATTCAGAATTCAACCCATTCATTAAGGAAGGCACTGTAGAGAATGCTTATTAATATTTCCAGTTCTAGACAAGTATCACAATCTTCTGTCGAGCAAGCTATCAGCCTATTAGCACACCAAAGTATGTTATCCCATATTTTTTTGTCCAAAGTAACGAAGCAAAAGCTTGGATAGTTGAATTTGGAGTCTCATATCTTATGATCAGAGACGTCAATGTCTTCAAAAATACAATCCATATACCAACTACTCTGCAATTTGAATAGTTGATGGCTTATTCTCACTAGAGCAAGAATTGGATCAATCAAGTTAGCAAAGGATTTTCATCTTTACTCCACCCTTTATATGCCAAAATTAAACTATAATATACTCTTATTCAACGAATTTGTAATCGAAAATATGTGATTAATTTTTTTCTATGATTATTGTGATTTTTCATGCCGTGGATTCAAAAAAGGTGATTGTTAGTGCTGCGATGCATGATGCTCTATATTTGCTCATATAAAAAAACTTCACCAGCAGATAAGGTTATTCGTTAAGCTGTATTTCTAAACATATTTCAGATTTTATCAATTTTTTCTTCAATTGAACGTCAAGTCATGTTCATTCATTGTCATCTTAGTCATTCATTCATTGCATCGTAGTCATTCAAATTTTTTCATGATGCTCTATACTTGCTCATATAAAAAAAAATTACCAGCAGATAAGGTTATCCGTTAAGTTGTATTTATAAACATATTTCAGATTTTATCAATTTTTTCTTCAATTGAACGTCAAGTCATGTTCATTCATTGTCATCTTAGTCATTCAAATTTTTTATACATGAAAAAAAAATTGCACATTTTATCACTAAAAAACTTAATCTTTATCAATGTGAAACTTGTCAACTTGTAAAACATTGCAAACATGAATACTCTAAATTTCACTTCTTTTTTTTTTTGTAATTACAATGATATCTCGGGACTCTCACAAGCAAACAATGTAAAACAATGTAATTGATGCTCGATGATTTATATTATTCATAGATGACAAAAAAAAAAAAAACTATGAACATTCCTTACGAAAGAAAAAAAATTTGAAACAACCCTCATATTTTAATCCTTTCATTCCATGATCCTCACTTAGTGCCAAATCAAAAATCAAGTTCTTAGGAATATTTTAATTCCATTTTAAGTCTATCTTTCCAAGTATGATATCATTCATATAAGTTATTGTGGATACTCTTTAACAAAATGAGATTGTTAAGGAACAACAAACATTTACTTGAGGTGACTCATGCCATTATGTTATTTAATCATGCGCCTACATATTTTATAAGTGAACCATTCTCACAGCCACATCTCATCAATTGATGTCTAGTTGAGTCCTAAATTTTAAATTCTTCATAATATTCTCATTAAATTCTTTTCGCATATCCACATATTGTAATTCTATTCTTAGTCACTTATCTTTCTAAATATGTTATTTTTATATAATTTTCTATATGGATACTCCTTAACAAAATGAGATTCATTGAGAGGAACACACACATGACGTGTCCCGTGCTATTTTGTTCTTTAATCACATGACTAAACATTTTTTTTTTTTGGAAACCATTCTCACAACCACGTATCTGATCAATAGGATGCCTAGCTGAGTCCTAAAATTTCAAATTCCTCGTAATATTCTTATGAAATTTTATCCACATATCCTCTCTCTTTATTCCAACTTACTACTGAAGGTTTTTGGATGTTTCATTTTTGTTCACATCCATCGAACAACAACACATCAAAATTGTTTCCAAGTTTTTCACATGCATCTTCCTCAGTTACTCCTCTAATAAAAAAGGATACAAATGCTACTCTCCAACCACTAAGAAAATATATAACTCTATGGATGTCATCTTCTTTGAGAATCAATCTTATTTTCTCAAATATGAAATTCAAGAGAACTTGAGAGAATATCAGATTTGGAATTTTTTCCAAGATACTTCTGCATTTCTTTTTCAATTGAACCAAATAATGTCACTCAATTAGCTCCATTTGAAAAACCAAACTCTGTCATATGCACAATTCCAATTGTCTCTACTTCACATCAACATGACACTAATGATCTAGAATTTTGTATCTGCGCTAGAAGAACTACTGAGCTTGTAGAAGACTCTATGCAAACTCACAATTGTTAAGAGCCAAAACCAAGCCCAACATCTTATAATCATAATGGTATGGATTCATCATCTCATGATTCTCATATTGTTTGTTGATGATTTTAATTAATCAATTGCATCTAGGAAATATATTCAAAGGTGCACTTGTGATCCAATTGAAATATATGTAGCTTATGAGAAGTTGCTACTATCTTATAGGGCTTTTGTGATAGACCTTGATAGTGTGAAGATTCTAGTTCTATCCAAGGGGCTTTAAAGGTTCTTGCATGGAAATAAGCTGTTGAGGAAGAAATTCGGGTCTAGAAAAAGAATAACATGTGAACACTGATAGAGTTATCTCATGAAAAAAATTTAATTGACCGCAACCTGCGATTGGATATTCACAGTCAAATACAAAGGAGATGAAAGTGTTGAGAGATCCAAAGTTAGATTTGTAGCCAAGGGTTTCACTCAGTCATATGGGATTGACTATCAGTAAACTTTTGCATCGGTTGCTAAATTTACTACTGTTCGGGGCTTGCTCTCTTTTGCTGGAAATCAAAATTGACATTTATGCCAGCTTGATGTCGAAAATGCCTTCTTAAATGGGGACCTTGATGAAACTATGGGCTTGGAAAAAAGGTCGAACAACGGGTTGATTTTCAAGTTAA